TATATACATATTTATATATATGTGTGTGCATGTGTGTGTGTCTTCTTGCATGTATATGCCCCATATACATATATATGTGTGTGTATATATATGTGTGTATATATATATACACACACTTTAATGAGGTGGGAGCAATCAAACACTATTTGAGCTAAAGCTCTTGGGCCACAGTCCGTGGGTTTGTGGCTCAGGGCCTTGAAGGCACAAAATCCCCTTGGAAAACTGAGCATATTCCCTCCATTGAGGAGTGAGAAACAGTTTTCTCCTGCCTGGGGCGGGGGTACTGGGAATGGTGCTCCCTGCTCCTCTGTTAATCCCAGTGGGAAATGCAACACTTCGAGTTCTCTTTCCGCTCCGTGGTGCAGGTTCCAAGTCCGGGGTAGGGGACAATGTGCCTTTGTCAACGGAGACGGGATCAGCAGCGACTGGTGCTCCCTGATGAAATACTCCGTGTGCAGCCACCCCCAGACACGTCCCGGTGGGAGCCAGAGGGATCCCGAATTCTGGAATCTCACCTGAAAACCCCTTTCTCCTCCCCAGAGCCCTACATGGGAGCTACTTGGTCTAATAAATACTAGTTCTATCCAAACCTGCCTCTTTTCCATATGCACCGGGGTCCCTGTGGCTGCAACATCCCACTGCACAAAGAACATCTCCAGTGGGGCATCATTTTCCCAAATTTCCCATTGCATTTGGGTGGGAAATGGGAATAACACTTCCATTGCCTTTCCCTCCCTTCTCCTAGTGTAGAGATCGGCCCCCAGTCTCTCTGGTTTCATTTACACACGTTTGTGCATCAAATTTGGGCTCATCTTGGCACATTTTACCTTTGAAATCCCATATGGGGCAGCCCAGGGAGGGTCTTTGGGGTGAAATGAGGACAATTCCTCCTCCTTGTAGTGAAAACAGTCTGTATTTATTCTATTTATAACCCATCACACATGAGACACAGCCCGAGCGTGGGGAGCAGCGACAAGCAGGGGCACATCCTGTGCTGACAAAAGCCACTTTAACCCAAGGTACAAACTCAAAGCTGCAGAAATTATGGGGTTTAATTCAGGCTGGGAGCTGGGCCAGGGAGGGACATCGGGGGCAGGAAAAGAAACCTTTGGAGGGACTGAGTTTGGGTGGAAACCCCGTGTTTTCAGCTCAAAAGTTGCTCAGTGAAGCTCCATGAAGGAGCTTGGGATGGATTTAATGGTGGTGGATTTCAGAGGGGATGAGCTGCACCCAAACCCCCCTGGATATATATAACCAGTTACATATAACCCAGAATGGAGATGTCTAAGGTGGAGATAGGACCATGAGCTATAATAGAAACAACTCCAAGAGCTGGAATATAAGAGTTGAGCAGCATCAAGGAGCATTTCCAACCATCATGAACCAACCCCAGCAGTGATTCAACCCTTAGAGAGTCTGATGGTGGAGAGGAGCACACAGAAGTAGGGGAACACCCTCTCCCCACTGAAGGAGCCCACAGGGAAGGTGAAGATGCGCTGGCGGCTGCCCACGGCATAGAAGGACACTTGTCCCACCTCATAGTCCAGGTAGACGCCGATGTCCCCATTGCACAGCGGGACGGAGGTGTTGGACGGAGCCGTGAGGGCCACGCAGAGCTCATCGTACTTCTGCAGGCCCCAGATCTCGGTGCTGGGCTTGAAGAGGACCCGGCCCTTCCTCTGCACCGACTCAAGGGCCACCCCCACGGCCCAGAACCGCCCCGTGGCCTCCAGCTCCCAGTAGTGGCGCCCCGAGGTGAAGCCCTCCCTGCCCAGCATGCAGGGGTCCGTGTCGAACCGGTCCGGAGCATCGCGCCAGCGGAGGCCAGGTCTACCCCAAGAGGCTGCTTTGAGGTCCTCGGACAGGATCACTTCAGGGCCCACGGTGGCCGGGTCCAGGGTCACATCCACTGGGGAGCAAAAGGGGAGGAATCAGAAACATCCCATAAAACCCTCTTCCCTGGTTTCTATGAAAGGAGAAAGGCAAAGAGATGGGGTTGGGGATGGAGGATCTCCAAAGTTGGACACGAGGGAGCCAGGAGACGGGGTTGGAAATGAGAGATCTTCAGCCAGGTTGGACATGGGGACACCAAGAGATGGGGTTGGAGATGGAGGAGATAGAAGGTGAAGCAGAAGATCCTCCAGCTCCAATGGACATCTTGCTTGATGCGACCCATAAAACACCAGGAATTGGGACTTTGCTCCTCTCCAGCACCTTCCGTTACCTTCAAACTGCTTCACTGTGTGATAATCCAGGGCGAGATCCCACGTGCGTGGCCGTGGCTTGAGGAGGAATGACATCGCTCCCTCCACGTCCTCCCCTCAAACAGAGAACAGGACATGGTTATTGTCTTACGGATGGGCTCATCTCAGCCTTTTCGTGTGTGAAAACGGGCTCAAACACTGCATGTAATCAAAACGCTTGAAGGAGACCGTCAGTTTTTATCCCGTGGTTGCAAAGGAGCTTTGCTCATCTATGGGAAGAGCCACGGAGATAGATTAAATCCGTTAATTCCCTGATGAAATATCAATGTGTGGGGGGCAGATAAGGGCCGGTGTCAAGGGCCGTGAAGAGTAATAGAGCCCCCAAGTGGTTGAATAAACTATTCGATGCTCCAAAAGAAACTGGTTCCTCCTTTTCCATGTGTTTTCCCCAGCAAAAGCAGCAGATGGATGAGAAGTGGAGAAATGGTGGGAAAACACCCTTCAATGGAGATAAAAGCAGGAGATTTGCTGCTTCTCACCCGAATTCCCCCATTTGGATGGTTATGGGTAGACGAGGAGGAAAGAAAAACCACAACCAACCACTGGAAAACACCTTTAAATCCAAAGCAAAGATCCCGAGGGCAAAGCAGGGATAAACCTGCATCCTTCCCTCATGGATGGGATGGGAGAGTGCTCAAAATCCCCTTTCCCACCCCAAAATGAAGCTGCATCACTGGGAATTGCCCCTTTCGAACCTTTTGTGTTGCTTTGAGGCTCCTCCAGCTGCTTCTCCACTTGGAATTCTTCCCCTTCTTGTGATTTTCCCTTACTCTGGCACAGGCTCCTCTCAGTCCCAGCTCTTTTATCAGCCGGGGAGGGAGGAGATCCCCAATCTCCTGCCTGCAGATTGGGCCATGACGCACTCAGGCGCCTCCTGCACCCTCTGATTGCACCTTTTGTGCCTCATTTGAGGGTTGTTCGCTTTGTCAGCGATGAAGGGAAGGGAATAAAAACCCAGCAGTGAAAAAAATGGTCATGATTGGCTTCATTTTTGCCCCCAAATCCAGCTGCAGCCGCTTGTGCACAACAGAACCGAGCTGAGGATGGACAAGGGGTGGTGGGTTTAAACTGAAACAAGAAGTTCAGGTTGGAGATAAGGCAGAAGTTCTTCCCTGGGAGGGTGCTGAGGCGCTGGCACAGGGTGCCCAGAGAAGCTGTGGCTGCCCCATCCCTGGCAGTGCTCAAGGCCAGGTTGGACACAGGGGCTTGGAGCAACCTGCTCTAGTGGAAGGTGTCCCTGCCTGTGGCAGGGGTTGGAGCTGGAGGAGCTTTAAGGTCCTTTCCAACCCAAACAGCTCTATGATTCTATGGCAGCAGCTTCCAGGCGAAGGATGAGACAGCGGAGCCTAGAAATGGGATGAGCTGGAGAGGATAAAACATGTTTAAAGCCAACTGTGGGCGAGGAAATTTGCCTCTTCCCACCCAGGAGCTGAGCGCAGGAACACCCCAGGGGCGGTTCGAGGGCCAAGCACCAGCATCCAGCCCCGGTTTCTTCTCACCAGAAGAAGCCACCTCAGTCACTTCCTGGTGCTGAAGAGGCAACCCCCCCACCCCACTTGGGACCAAGCAGAGACCAGCAGCGACGGACGAGCAGCCACTTGCTGCAGCCATGGAGTTTTGGGGGGGACCCATTGAGATCTATGAGGTGAGATTGTCCTTCCTATGACCCATCAGGCCTCTTCCCTGCTCCCCAAAGTGCTCTTTATGGGAGAAGCTTGAAGCAGTCTGATTCCTGCTTTCAGGGAAGCAGTGAGGTGGCTTTCGGGGGGTATTTGCTTTCTTCCCCCATATAATTTAGGGTTTTAAAGGCAAGGTTACTCAAACGATTTCATTGGGGGGTGTATCCAGGAGAGGATCCGGTCTCACCTGCAAGCCCTGAGGAAGGTGTTGGCAGAGTTTCTGGACTGGAGAATGAGTGAAGAGAAGCAACGTGTGGACTATCTGGTGAGGGGGCCCTCGTAGTTGCAGCAGCCAAATGAGTCCCTGGGTAGGTTCCCCCCCCCGCCCCCCGCAAACACAGGGA